GACAGAGAAATGCTAACATAAAGCACAAAAACTGGTGAAGATACAGAGAAAATAACTTTACAATGAGATTTGTATCTTTAAGCTATCACTCAGTATTGCAGTTTTAAAACACATACACTGAAACACACACACACAACACATTAGCCCTAGTTTTTCAAAGGCAGAGCTGCCCACTTCCCATGCAGGCCATACGTGCAGTGGGTGGTGGGTTCCAAGATCACGGTCCTAGGGAAGCATGGGCCCCCTTGACTGCAACCCAGGATGGGGCAGGTGTTCAGAGTGTGCAGGAACTGTGGACGCTGGGGCTCAGCTCTGTCTGTGTCTGGCCTCGCTCCACTCAAGATCAGCTGTGGCCAAATCTGGATTCTACCTGCTGTGAGATGAGCTGGAACCTTGGAAACCACAGGACACACGTGTGATGGGAAGGTGAGGCTTGGAAGGCTCCCTGTGTTTTCAGTCCAGTGTGACAGGAATCCTAAGAAGAAAAGAAAACCGAAAGCATGGAAATTCTTAATTCCAATATTTATACTATTTTTGATGCAGAGCATTTTCTAAGTGCTAAAACTATCTTGCCCGTGTGTCAGCTTTTGTTGTTCTTGTAAATTCTACAGTATTACTAAGGTATCTTTATAGCTTTGCACATAAGTCAGTTGAAAACTTTTATACTGAAAAATTATTTTTTTGTGTGTGGTTTTGTTTGAAGTACTGAAGACCGAACCCAGAGCTTTCCCACTGAGCTACACCTTCAGTCCATTTATAAATTTATTTTTATTTTGAGACCATCTAAACAAAATTGCTACATTCCACAGGCAGGGCTCAGCTTCCCATCCTTCCATCCCAGCCTCTCAGAGTTCTGGGTTTTACAGTCATGAGCCACCAGCCTGGCTGAAAACTTGATTTCTACACCAAAGATTCTATTCTTCAAATATAGAAGATAACACAGCTTGAAATATTGAATTTCATGGTAGCTTCTGCCTCTTTTATTTCTGTCCATGATAGTTCTAAAATAAAATTAGTCCTATTTATTTAATATATTTACTTGATCTGTATTTTGTAATTCACAATATGTTTCTTATTTTAATGTAATGCTTGTATATATTTATGAATAAAATATAAAAAGCCTCTTTCTATGTAAACTTCATTAGAAATTATAAAATAACATTAATCAGTACATGGTGTAGCATAATCTTAAGAGAAGGGCACAAATATATTCAGAGTTCAATTTATAGACAAAAAGGACTGTCACAAAAGGAAACACATATTTGGAGATAAAATTAGTCCTATTTATTTGACACATATTTTACAATTTACTATCTTTTTATTTTAATTTAATTTAATTTAATTTTTTTTGTACTGGGGATCGAACTCAGATCCTAGCACTTTGAGGTAGGCAGGCAGAGCCATTCAGCTAAATCCCCGGCCTCCATCTTTTTATTTTAATGTAATATATGTAAACATTAATAAAGAAAATCTAAAAACACTATTTCTATGAACATTTCAACACAGATTATTTTTGGAATAACATTAGTTAATGCATGGTGTATCGTAACCTTAAAAGAAGATACAAACATTACTCAGAGTACAATTCATAGACAAAAATGACTCTCCCTTACAAATGGAAACAAAGAGGTAATGGCACGAAACTTCTTTTCAATATACTAAGAGAAACCAGTATAAAAGAATCAAATTCATGTACTGAAATATTTTTGAAACAATGGATATTTGGAGACTTATTTTAACTTCTCTATACTTTATATTTCTTCTCTGTTGTCTATAGTGCTTTTTATCTATATATGTATATGTTTTTCTTGGTGATTTGTACCAAAATTTCCATTTTTCTATCCATACGTGGAAATTTCTAGTAGTTTATTAATAATTACAGATTTTATAATTATTTATTAATGAAGAGAAAAATTACACTCGAACAATGATTTTGCCTCAAGATTTTCATTTTATGTTCACTAAACTCAGGAATTTGTTATCCAGTCATACTATTTCTAAGTAATGTGTATTCATTTCTTTTGCCTAATTTTTATTGTATCTTTTTTTTTTTTTTTTTTTTTTTTTTTTTTTTAGTGAACTCGGGTCCTTGCTCTTGCAAGGCAGGCCACCGAACCGCTGAGCTAAATCCCCAGCCCTTTACTGTATCTTTTATGTTGGGAATCTAATTTTTTGTGATCTTGATACCTAGTTGATATTAGTTATCTGTCCAAGGATAGCTGTATAAATACTCTGTTATGTACGTGAAATAAATCAAACACAAAAGCTTAAATATCATATCGTTTCTCTTACCTGAGAAACAAAATTAAACAAAAAGAAAACTAAAAATATAGAAAATAGGAAATTAGGTCATACACCTTTTGTAAAAAGGAAAGGGATAGAGAAATGGAGAAGAGGGGACGGGGAAAGGAAGAGAATTTGATTTAAAAATAATCAAATGGGTTATATTCACTTACTGACTCCTCACAATAAATGTAACCATTTAATGCTGCAAACTGTACTTATAATAAAAACGGAAAAAATTAAAAATGAACTCCACAAAAGACCAATTGAGAATCTCCAGAGACAAAACCAAGAGCATCCTGTATCTACAAAATTATCAATCTGAGAACAGAGAGGCAACATCAACACAGGCCAGTCACAAACCTCCCTTTGGGGCGCCCACGAACAGCAGAGGGCGCTAAGGATCCACTGAACACTAGGAAAGGTCCTAGGAGCAGGTGCAGAGAAGGAAGCTGAGTGAGGGCTTCCTGTCAGCCCCTGTGGTTTCCTCTGTCTTAACATCATCTGAGGAGACCCTGCAGCACATACGCTGCAGACGACGTAGGAAGTAACCAAGTTCCAAGTAAAGACTAAAACTCAATTTAAACATATAAGTTTATATTTACACAATTACTTTTCAGCTCCTAAACTTGGGTTTTCCTAGATGATTAAATATGACTTGCATGCACTTCAAAGTATCTTGTATATTTTGAGTTTTTGGATGCCGACTCTTCATCATCTAAAAATGAATCTGATAATTTTATCATCATGACAAGGACTTGTTTCATGCTAAAAGAAATGTTTTAGATTCGGGAATTAAATCCACCACATCCCTCTCCACAGCTCTCTCTTATGTAGCCAGTTCAGGAGGCCTTGTCCAGGATCAGCACCAGCACCATGTGGACCACTGTGTTCAGAGCTGCAGGACACAGAGACAGCCTGACTGGACTCAGGGTAGGGTCAAAGGACTCAGGGAACTCTTCTGTTCAGAATTTCTGAAGAGGAGTAGGGACTGCACTTTATTTATGGAACTTAGAAACAGGGATGTGTAACATTTCATCTTTTGGATATTTTGTTGTCTCTCCTCCTCCTCCTCCCCCTCCTCATTCCTCATTCTATGATTCTCAAGTTTCAACCTATGTATCAGTAAAGTAATGCACAATATTTCAGATGAAATATTCCTTTTTCATAATAATCATTTCCATTAACCAATTCCCAAGACTCTGACTTTATGTATTTTCTTTATCTCTATAATTCTGTATTGATCAGTCACATTTCTATTCCCAAACTTTCCTTGAATACTCAGACATAACAATGTAGTTCATAATGTCATTCATGTGTTTATGGATTTCTGTAAAGTGTGTGTACAGTGAGCAGAAGGACACTCAGGCCCCACAGAGTTACAGTTCCTGAAGTCAGAGCTGAGGAGAAGCCTTCACACATAGACCTCTACACTGCAGGTGTTACCATGGCTTCATGAACGCTCATCCTGGGAATCAAATGCATTTCCCCCTCCTCAGACAGCTCTGCTCCACACCTGGAGCCCAAACATGACTGATGTGTCCTGTACTTAATGACTGAGCATTCCTGTATGAAATGATGGCCCTGTTCTTTCTAGCTCACTTGAGCTCATCTTCCAGAATATGCATCACTCGACTTGAGGCCAGATCTTCACCTGAGATCTCTAAATCTATTCTCACGAGTTTCCTTCCATGTCCTTCATCAGTGTCATTGTGTGCTCAGTCTTGAGTGTCTAAATGTCATTTTCAATGAGTGATCTTTAAAGCTTGACATAAGAAAGAGTGAATATTTGGCCACTGAAGGTGCTTCTGGATTTTACTGAAACCTGTGAATACATAGAAAATTATTACCCACATATTCAAATCTACAAAATTCTTGAAAAAGTAAACACTTTTATGTTTTCATTTCAATGAAATTGCAGATTGAAAAAAAAAACCACTAAGAAACCTGGAGACAGGTTCCAAATAGATCCCTCAGGACTCTGCGAAGGGGAAGGGAAAAACGACCACTGCGAAATGAAACCAGAGCATTTCCTGCTCGGATACTCAGAGAAGGACTTTTCCACAACTTTATCCTTCTTGGAGAAAAGGAATTTTTATTGGACAGTATCTACTTGGATCCTCCCCTTGAGATTCTCAGGGTTCTGTAGGTAACACATGTGGTGTTTGCCCCAGAGCACTTATTGTCAACTTAGTCCTGTTCGGTCCCACGGCCACCCATCATATCTCCAGCAGTGTTCCCTCTATGTGTTCCCTGAACTCCTGAGCCAGGAAGAAGGGCTCATCTGTGACTGGGGATTTTCCTCTCTCCGAGTCGACAGTGAGCTATGCTGATACCTGACAGAAACAGACAGGGATCAATGCACTTGCTTAGCATCAGAGACACTGATGGCCAAGAAGAGGTTCAGGTGTCTTATGAACCATTCAAGGTGGGTTCAGAGAGCAGAGCCTTCCTGTGGTGGCTTGGTTCTCAGTGAGGCTAGGTCGCTATGCACAGAGTTTAAGGAAGTGACAGGAGATGCATTTCCTCAGACAGGATTAGGGCATAGACCCCAGCACCACATTGCTGCATGGCCCATGTGTAACTGCTTTATCCTTCTCAGGCTATATCAGGTCTGGAGCTCAGAAGTTTTCTGCCTCATGAATATGCAAAGAACCAGCATCTGCTGAGGTAAATATGGGTACATCTGTGCCCCAGAGTTCCACAGCCATCACCCTCTTCTGAAGAATCCCCAGAGTACAGCTTCTCACCATGGACTGGACCTGGAGAATCCTCTTCTTGGTGGCAGCTGTAAAAAGTAAGGTGACACCCAGTCCTAGGGCTACAGAAGGGACCAGAGCCTGTCAGGGGTCCTGCATCCAACTCCTATCTTCTCTCCACAGGTGTCCATGGCCAGGTGCAGTTGGTGCAGTCTGGGTCTGAGGTGAGGAGGCCCACGGAGTCTGTGAAGATCTCCTGCAAGGCTTCTGGCTACGCCTTCACAGGCTACTACATGCACTGGGTGCGACAGGGCCCTGGACAGGGTCTGGAGTGGATTGGTCGAATCGATCCAGAGGATGGAAATACTAAATATGCTCAGAAGTTCCAGGACAGGGTCAGCCTCACTGCAGACACCTCTTCCAGCACAGCCTACATGGAGCTGAGCAGTCTGAAGTCTGAGGACACAGCCGTGTATTACTGTGCGAGACACAGTGTGGTGACCACATCCTGAGTCTGTCAGAAATCCTGAGGCAGGAGCAGCTGCCTTCGGGTTGAGAGCTAAAGACTGGAGTGAAGTAACTAAGGGTAGGAATGATACAAATGTGCACGCACTCTACTTTTATAGGGAAACATCCATACCACAGACAGCCTATATGCAAACTATAAGACTCAGAGAAATTTTTGTGCAGACATACATTTCCAATCAATTGGAGAAGTAACTAAAAACAAAGTTCTTGTACCTTATGCCAATGTCCTTTTTAACTTGTGAAAAGTGGTAAGACTTTCTCCAGGATGTCTTGGCTATTTCTGTTCAGCAGATTCTACTTATGCTGCAGGTTTATGTTCACAAAATGTGAAGGAGAGGGTCCAGAGATTTCCCCTGAGTCTCTGCTGCATACGCACAATCTGTCCCAGCAGCACCCTCACTGTGGTCCTCTGTGTTCCGGGAATGGACTCTCAGTGACACAGCATCATCTCCCAGTCGTGGCTCTCCACGGGGTCGCTTCTTGGCCTTGTGCATTCTGCGTGTTTGGACAAATGTCTGATGTCGTGTCTCCCCCACATTACCATGTGTGTCGCACACATTTGAGTGAATATCGGGAGCAGGAC